GATTATGATCCGTGTAATGGTCAAAAAATGATGCGCTGTATATTAACGTGTTATTCGAGTATTGATGAATAACACAACAAATACTTGCAACGCTTATATGATCGCTCACTCATCTAGCACGTAACTATAAACATTACAGAAATCGATGTCGATGTCTCCACGCGTTACCCAAAACAGATTTTCACCAGTTATTGAAGAGTTGGACTGATGCTTTCTTGAGGCTTCAAGAAGAATTCAATTCGACCAGACAACATCTCTCAGAGCAACGATCGCCGAAACTAAACAACCGAAAATTGTCACCGTCCACTTTTGGTCTCCTAGCAATACCGGCGTTGCATATTGCTTCTAGAAATCCTGACAGTCTCTTCATTCAGCATAAATCCTTGTTGAACAGGTAAGAATATTAGGTTGATGTTTAAGATAGAGCATATGCACAATTTTCAATATATTAAGGGAAAATTTTAGAAAATCGTTGTGCGGTTTATTCAGAGGTATGTTCCAGTATAACATGATAATAAAGGATGTTGCACGGGACATTCACTATTCGTAGAACAGTATCCAGGCCGTCTAAGATTCAGGACCATCAGAATGTTCACGCGTCATAACCGCTGATTCAAATCTGCATTTAATCTCGCAAATCAAGCGAAGTCCCGTTTCAGGAAAGGTCATATGTATGCAGCGAAATGGCTGTGGAATCGTTTAATGACAGGTCCCGAGTATAATCTTTCGAAAGCAGTTCTTTCTGAAGATGCATATTTTTGTCCATCGGCGGTAAGCTAATTTCTCACTGAGCGATCCTGTCTTGATATCTAGTAATTTTAATCATGTACATAAACTGAGCCATTATCACTGAGTTACTTTTGGAAATAGCCTGAAAAATAGCATTCCACTCCATCAACGACGCGAATATCCTTTCAACAAGCATTACAATACCAACGGATCTATTGTGATAGTTGCAAATACTCCGTAATTTTATGTGTTTCAATAATTTGACCATTAATAAGTTGATTTTTCATTGTTATCGTTCGTTCCTTTAAGAAACTTGCAATTTTCGGAATATGAGACAATCAGAATAATCTGGAAAGTTCTATAAGGGAGTATTCGGCTGAGGAACTTCCGAAAAGTCTCACCAAATTGCAGGGATGTCCCTATTTTCGTACAGTGACCAATCGACATTCTTGTCAAGTTATTACGGAAGAGGAATGGCAACGATCCACTAGGACGAACTCTTCAGCGAATGGAGTGAGCAAAAAGCAGTCGAAGCGACGAGAAGCCATCAAGCAGCATCTAATACTCGTTATTACAGTTATTGTTGTTTCGGCGTTTATCTCAGTTACTTTCTTCGGTACCATATTCTACCGAAACAGCTTGAAGGCCACGAAACCTCGATTCGAGGCGACGCCAGGGGTATAACTCTCCTGATAATCACACCTCAAAAATTTGGAAAAAACCTCGTTTTTGATCAAATCACGATGATTACAGTCACCTTGTTTGGGTGACTAGAGAAGTCAGACTGTCATACAAATAGTAGCGAATCACGCGAATATTGCGAAAGAAAAGAATGAGAGTTCTGTACCAGACCTTGCCTTATCAAGGCCTTCTGAATGCTCATGTTTAGAATCACTTAGTAACATNAATTCAGTTCATATTATGATAGTGAATGAGAATTGTTGTAAAGTCTTCTAAAATCTCAATAATAATTTAATGCATAATATTGTATCATATGTCTTTTGATCAACTATGTTCATATCACACCGCATGCTGTTCAGTCATCAATCTAATCTATTACTAACGTAATTCCGTATCAGACTTGCCCCTTTCCTCGGGCTTAAGCCAAAGTTCGAGCTCAGTTTCTCGTCTGAACCATAATATGAACCTAATTCTGACCTTCTTTGCCACTCCAATCAAAATTCCTTGAGTAACACTAATTAGTCATAAGATAGCTTGATCAAAAGACGTACCATGATATGCCATGTACATATGATATGATTTTTACATACATAATCGAGCAACTAAGAATGCGTTTCACACTGATAGAGAATCACTGTTAAACATCCGATTTGGAATCGCAGAAATGTGCCCCTTCTTGGAGTTAAGGCCGAAGCGAAATTCCTTCCAACAGCACAATGCCATACTCCCGAATGGTTTGCTTCGAAGGCTTTTTTCAACCGTTCCGCTAGTTCAACTGCAATGTTTCGTTTGTTATTTTTGCATTATTTTATTGTTTTCATTACGGTTATTCATCATTCCTATTGTTGCTTATCAATAATAGCCACATTATTATTGATAATGTTACTACTGTTGCTCTTATCATTAGTGTTATTATTGTTACGTTTTATGTCATGTACATTTGTTAATCTCGTGATCATTATTTATCGTGTCACCTTCACTGAGATGATTTGCAAACGCTTCATCAGCTATACGTATTGCCTCATCACTCATTGCCTTTGACATATCTGAGAATCTTACGGCAACCTGAAATACGGTTATATTATTGGATTTGTCCAAATCAGCTACATTCACCATTGCTCTATTGGTTATTGTGACTCATTATTACTGCTATTGTCATTATTATCATCCATCATTGTCATTACTGACCACTGAAACGATTCTCTGGGATGTCAGGATGCAATTAGCTATGCTGCCATCCTGATATTTTGAAATTGACTTATCTCCCCAGCATCCAGTTTTAATTTTATAGTTCCCATGATTTTCATCAGATTATCACTGCAATTTGGCAAAATCTCGTGTGAAAATCAAGCTATAACAGTCATTATCAGCTCCTATCAGGCACCGCATCGTACTATATCCATTGCATGATGCCATGTTATGCAGGATACATTGTATCATTAAAATTTTTTAGTATGTTACGATATTTTTGTCCTGTCTTCTTTGTATTTACTGTTATCGCATTACGACTGGTATGAAACATCATGTTCGTGTTGGAATTGATATTGAATCCTTTGATCTGATTCAATTCGTACACTGAATCCTTATTATGTCACTTATGTACAGGTTTTTTGTGTTGTCATATGTTTTTATGTATTTTATCGTGATTTTTCAATTTGTGAAATATTTTTCAACTTATGAATATTTCGTGAATCAATATGTCATGTTAATTGCTGTTGCTCTTCTACTGATATGTAACAGAGATAAAAGTTGTTATTCTCAAAACACATTTTGAAAGGCTTAAAACATTCTCAAACTGTACTCATCAAAGAACCATAGTAGCACATCAGAACACCGATCGCGGGCGAAACATCCTCTTGAATCCAGCGAGAGCATCTCAGACGTGCAAAATCTAGTCTGGATTGTTATGAAGGCCTGGAATTGGTCCTTAGCGATAGGACCGCTATATTACCTCGTCCTGTGTGTTCCCATGACATTGTTAGAACGTTCAGGCGGTTAAACCCTCGCATTCTGGTGTGAGTTCTCAACAATGAGGTGTCACCTTTTCCGTTCCCTCTATATTGAAAACTCAACAGATTTTGATGTTTCAGTCCACTTTTCTTACAGAATCGGTGGAATCAGATCAAAACCCGTCGTGATTTCCTCATTTTCCTATCCCAAATCAGTAAATTAGTATCTCAAAATGATTTCTCGTGATGCATTCGTCCTGCTTCTTTACAAGATAAGATCTATCAATGCATGAACTTCATAAAAACAAACCTTAGCTTTCGGCTTATATCCAGCACTTGTTTTTGCCGGATCAGCCGTCACCGTACTCATACTCCAAATTATCTTTCAACACAACCGTCCGTCAACAGCAGCCAATATAAAAGATGAAACCGAAATTACTCACAAATGAGAGAAAGCATGAATGATCAGAAGAAAATTTGAATTTCTATATGATTGACCGAAAAACTTACAAGCGGTAAATGAAAATCAACGTGGAAGAACTTTAAAATACAGCCAAATTTCTGCAGATATCTCATAGAGTTGAGTGAATACTTCGTCTTCCGTTTCATTGTATCTATATCACTTAACATATGAATAACGTGATGGATATCAAGATATCAAGAGCACCATATAAAACACTATCCTCAAGTTTGCTTATCAGGACCGTGATGATTTCTTCACACTAACGAACTCTCCAGATTTTCTACTTTCGGAAAAGTATATATGTTGTCGGGTGATTTTGCTTAATTTCACTGAAATAAGTGGTTTTTGAGGGTATTTCATATAGTTGTGCGATTGCGTTTTGTCGCGCTCATTTGAGCATGTTGAATATGCGTTGATCAATGATCACTTAAGAAATATATGGACTAGGTTTAGGTATGTTCAACAACCTTTCGATTCCTTAACATGTCATATGATTTCGAATATGATTCCGAACATGCATGATTGGTAGATGTTAGATCGCAATCCATGCAACATTCCGTTTGATGGAGAGTATTACACGGATTGTGATATGTCGTCCAGCGATCATGCATGATATCAGGAATCATATGATATACATTCATGTGGGATAGACTGCGATAGCTCATCTTTTTCTCGAATGAAAAATTTTACACTGGAAAAATCGACAACATCCCATTGAATCCGATGATGAAAATCAAAAAGATCGAAGCATAAACAAAATGAATATATTTCATCGTCATCATCACAATATAATCAAAATTTTCAGCGATTCCTTCCTCTATTCCAGCAGTTTCTGTGTCTCAATGCAATACTTTGTTTTATTGAAATGCTTTTTCTCATTTCATATCGACCATATTCAATAATCCTGTTCGATGGAAGGACTGAGTGTTTCTTCAACTTTACCAACTCATTTTCTAATCTATTGCAGGTTCCCTCCATAATTTGCTCTAAAATCCTCATCCATATCACTGATAAGCTATCATCCGCCTTCAGTAATGATTGATCTAACGGAGCTGATCAAATTTCCTTGCATGCTTGACCGCAGATCATTTCTGCNTATTCGAACTCATGAGAATTTTGAGAAACTCCGTTAAAATCTGAAATAGGGAAATGGCAGAGCCATCCTTTGTTTTTGATTAAGCTGTCACTTTTTCCGACTTCAACTGAAACGTAGCATCTCATTTTTTGTCTTATTGGTTCTGGACCCTTAAAGCAATAAGTCATTCCGAGTATTAAAATTTTCATGTTCCAAACTGAAGCAACCGAATGGTCCAATGGCTTGCCCGTATGTAAATCTATCAAACGTACAGCACAATCAAAATCCATTCATTCATCAAGCTTACTCTTCAGTAACTAATCTCATACGCAGTCGTCTCTTCTTTTCATCTTTTTTTTCACTGTGTTTCCAAATAAATGAGCACATCAAGTAAGCTTTCTTGTTTATGCAACAATCACTTCACATCACACCATATTATTCGTACATACAGACTAGTAGAACTGACTAAATGAGCTGCACTGAAGAAAAGAAATGCCGTTCGTAAACGGTTTCTGACAGACTTAAATACAAGAAGATTTTGCTCAATAAAGATTTCTTGCTACCAATCGCATCGCTTTCAAATGATCTTATCCAATCGTTTTTCTTAATAGCTTTTCCCGTATCGCCGTTCGTATCTCCTCTTCCTTAAAACAAGAAGCACCCAAACAAAGAAGATTTATTCGAACGCTCCGACGTCATTGGTCTTCGTTCAGTCTGAACGAAAGAACCTATTCTGCGTGCATTCATTTTTGAATTTTCGCAACTTTTGCGATATTATACGATGATTTCTCTCATTGAATTGGCTCAATTGTGACTTCGAAATTTGACTATAACATTTAAGGTATCATAATGATATTTGATACTTGACTACTACTACTACTACTACTACTAATTACTGCTGTTCAGCTAGCCATCATCATACAACCATGTTAAGCACTCTTATATTTCAATCCATGAATTCTTCCTTCAGTTATAAATTCATCTGCCTTCGACAACATAGTTGAACTCGAGGCGCCATCTGCGTTGTTTTTATTCGATCTATAATACTTGATTCAGTAGATCAATTCAAGCTTTCAATCCATAACTCAATTGTCAATGTACAAATTTTTGCGGTGTTTTAACTCAAACACATTGCCAGGCGATAATAAGTTTAAGATCCATCATCATTTTCAGTACTCAATCTCTTGAAAAGGTAACTGATCAAGGAACGAACATCTATCTGCTTGACGACGCGAAACAAGTGAATCCGAAGAAGTGAAAGGGAAAGAGTCCACGATCAGTCACATTCAACAAGAGATGCATTGTGCCGTTGCGGTGATTCTGTTGACTGTTATCTATTTGACCGGATATTTCCGATTCGTAAACGCTCATCGGTGCTTATCGTGTGCTACACAGGAAGCCGTTACGGTACAATAATAATCTTTAATATCCTAAAATAGTTATTGTTATAATGCACTAATAGTAATAACGATAATATAGCAAGCATAACAAGAACAATATTATAATAACCATATGGATACATGATCAAATGCAATCCAAATCATCTGATTAACTATTCATATGATTAGGATTGCGATCCGATTATTTTCATTCGAATTTAGCTTTCTAAGCTTGCGCTTAGAGTTTTTCGCAGTTTCTGATATGTTCATGAGGTGTTTGTCGTGAAAGGACCTGGATGAGTTTTCAGAATTGGAACAAGTTCATGAAATATCGTTTGCTGGACTCTAGAACCGGTACGTTGCTCGACGAGCATCCATGTGAGAATCCACATTATGTATCTTGCGAGAGTCCATGTTATATATTCGAGATTACCGGTAAACTGCGTACGGGCGAGGATCATCAACTCTTCGGTTTGTTTAGTGATTATTTTCAAACTCCAACCTATCACTGGAATTGTTAATCGCATTCATTTTCATTATGTTTTATCTAATCGTAAGCAATTCGGTGAGATGAAATCAGATTAATTTGAAGTTCTCGATTCAAAATTCCATATCGTTGCAATCAGTCCTGAACAAAAATCTAGCAAATACACAGCGATCTACAGATCAATTACAAACCAAATGGGAGGCATAATTGAATCGCCCCATGATACGATAAACTCTCAGAAAAACAACTGTATCATAAGATTAGCATTTNTTTGTTGCCTAGAATGATATCAAGCAATTATGAATTACTGAAGAAGTTTACCGATGCAGTTGGTCTGCAAATGATGCATCTCTAATGCGACTGCTCTATAATCATTCATTTTCAGCTTTGGCACAAGGTTGCTCAACTGGTCTTTTTGAGGATATTCCGAACGATTACAAATGTCTAAATCAGGAAATACCTATGCGAGGCAGAGGCGGCATATTCACACTTCACGGCAAATACTGCTTTTGTTTCGGGGATCTGTGCACCTCATATAGTGACATTTGGCTGCAACATAACCCGAATCCGGAGCGAACGGATCCTCCATTGGAGGATGTCAATAAATATTCTTCATATGGCAGTGATCCATTCCCCTATCAAGGTTTCTATCGTATAATTGAACCTTAAAACATGTTGAGCTTGCTGATCCACGTTACTGATCGCCCACAGATTCAGAATTACTCGTTGAAAATACATACGTATACTTTTCTTGGAATAAGAGACCAAAGCACGATGAGCTCCTGGTGTTGTGAAGTTAATGGTAAGAGCTGGACCCGCAGGTAGCCAATGGATGATGCGCATTGATCACTTAGGATGAAAGAGATCAATTTTAGACGGAGCGAAAAAAAATAAAGTAATATCTCAATGCATGATCCTCTCGAGGTTATTGCATTATCAAAAATAAGCATGCGTATCGCGAGAATTCGAACTTTCCTATCGTGCCTACAATCTCATGTATGTACTAGATATGATAATGGCAAAAAAAAGACCCCATGTGTCAGCCAGATGATGGTATATATATTTTTCTGACGGCTAGTTGAGATCAATTTCTAGTTCGCATGCAGTTAAATCAGTGCCTTCACAATGCAAAGTACAAGATGATGTGTTCAAACAACTGATTCAGATAAATGAATACATGTCAAGAGTTCTCATGACAATATCACAAACTAAATATTCAAAACGAGGTCCCATTAAATCTCTAAAGCAGTGTCATCAGGTTTCAACCGGATCATATTGCTTTGCACAGTTCTTCTCGCCCTGTGTGAACGCTTCAGAGTTTTCGCTACGATTTTCTGATTCTTTCCATGTTCAGTGATAGAGCGATCAAACTCGACGAATTGAGCAGATAGAATAGGTTAATATTATTGGTGCAAACGAGGTTCTATGTCAAAAATTTTGAATCTCTCCACGAGAAACGTTTACAAGCTGTTCAGAAGGTGCATGATTCCCTGGAGATGACTTAGTCAAAGAATTCCATCTTTGCTGATCAGTAATTTGTTGATAATATACCACAATCCAGTAGTCCTCAAACGATCATTTTTCCCACCTCGTGATAACCTCATCTTATACTCTAATTCCGAACAAAACCTAATTTATCATCTTAAAATTTCAGTTCCCTCCGCAAGTTCCACATCAATAACACAATCGACAACGACACGTCGCCTCAGGCTATGCTCCTATATCATTGTCATGCTACCGTTATTATTGCAATATTATTAAATGTTGTTATGATTTTAAGAATTTACAATTATTCAAAGCAACATGTGAACTATGGAAACGATAGTGCGCAATATGTTTTCGTTTCTGACACTGTACCTGTACATATTCATACGTATGTGAACCAATAAACATTAAGCGAGTTAGTTTCTCAGGTCAAATTCTCAGCTTCTGAAGGCAGGCTCTCATTGAAATACACGAATATTTTCATGAGAGCTAAACCTGTATATCTTGTGGACAGATACCAATCCGCAGTTGGTACTCACTTGGTTATTTAGTTGCATTCAACAAAACGTCTTCAGACTTTTATCGATGTAGCTATTATTATCGTGATGAATTTATCGTATTTTGTAATCGTATCTGGTGCATAATGATTACTCATAACTTATAATTGTTACTATACATGATGAAACTGCGTTCTTTTACTACTGGAAGAGATAGATAATAGATCCAGGCCAACTCAGCCCAACCAATCAAATCCTATCTCACAATCAGCCTAACCCACTCACTACTATCGAGAGAGCCTCCTTGACGAGCCTTAGGCCACCCAGCTTCTCGAGAATTCTGCTTTCAACGCTGTGTTATGCGTGTATCCATCCATAAAGGGTGAAGAAGAGAGAGACTGTTTAGTAATGTAGAGATAAGTGATAATGNAGGATAACGGATAAGGGATGATATTGCGAGGGATTCTCATCATTCGGCTCATTTCATATAATAACTCAGATGCTCTCAGTCCACTCAGACTCACATATTCGTTCGATATCTCGTCATGAACTAAATCTCTCTAAATCCCTCTTATAAGCTAACGATGTTTATCGAATCTTCAGATGCGCTGTTACACCAACCATAAGTTTCTCTCCGCATTCTGGATTTACCAATAGACTGCTGCCCTCTGTCCATGTATTGGGCTACTAGCCATTCTGCTTTGCTTCTCCTATGCTTTTCCTGTTAGCTTTCAGCTGTATCCATCGTATCGCAGGCATGTCTTCATCACATATTTCGTCTTCATCTTCATCGTATTACCAAATACCACAGCACCTCTCAAAATCCACCTACGTCTGCATATTTATCAGACTTCTTCAGCTTTATCTCACCACTCACTGAGTACTATTTTTGCTGCTAATAACTGCTATTGAATATGTAAGAAAATAACATAATTCAACCAACACAACGCTATTTTTAGTCCACTCGTCTATTTTGAACACACTACATAGTCGTTTATAACTAAAATTGTTCCAGTCACGTTTCGCTCGCTTAGCCGAACGTTATTTGAGGCTAACTGATGAGCATCAGTTTTATTTTCCAGGGTTTTCTAGTCCAACAGGAGTTTTTTAAAATGTTTTTTTCATCTTTCCAGTTTTATTCTTGCTCTTAATGAAAAGAAAATTGGTGTTTGTGATGTAGAATACGTACAAAAACATCATATTTTGATTGTTTGTTATGTGTTATTGTGTCAAGTAATCTCACGGAGCAGTTCCAGCCATGATTGATGCTTCTTGATGGATTGATTCAATTCAATTAGCTGACTGACTTCCTTCGTATGAGCAGTTTGAGTTTGTTTACGTGATCATCGTCGTTCGTATTTTAGTGATGATGTCAAAAAGTGTTTTGATATCAAAATGAATTTGAAATAACAACGTGTTGATCAATGATACTGATTAGTTTGATCGCTTTAATGATCAGATCAGATCAATGTTAATGATCAGATATATTCTCCTTGAAGCATCATTGGATAGGTTTGATATCTTGAATTCAGCGGATTTTTGCCAAATTTTAAAAACTGCTGTGTGATTTATCATTATCATTAATCGCTATTATCGTGTAAAGAAAATTAACTAATAAAGAGATCAATGAATAAAATTTCCGAAATCTTTTACCATTCCATGTAAAAAGCACTGTATATTTGATTAACTCAACATATCGTATTTGCAAGAACCCTCTTACTGAAAGTGATGAAAATAACCTGAAATGAGACCGACAGGAGACAAAACCGGTCCGTACAACTTGCACCAATACAATCAGACTTCATGTTTGCAGTTCTCATGCAAAAACTTTCAACACACTTATTGCTTGCTATCTTTTTCATAAGATATTATTAGAAGACGAATTCACTTCTCGTTTTTGTGCGCATTCAATAGGCACAACGACAATCACAGTAATTCATACCTTCTAGGAGTTATGATATAAATAGCTCAATGCTTCTCGACGTAACTCCCAATTGTAATAATGACTGTATAACATTAATAAACACTGATAAAAATAGCAACTCCCGACAATAATAACTAAAGTGACAGTATTTTTAACTGATTTGTTTTATCATTGCCACTAACTAATAACATGATCATTAATGTTAATGTTAATGTGAATGTTATTCTGATTGCAAAACGCAATTTCAATCTGAAATCAAACAGATGAACATAGAAAACAGATTGCGAAATGCTGTGTCATTGTTATTGTTTTCGAACCGAAGTAACAAACTACTTGCATAAACACATACACACTTCACTAAGTCAGAGGTCACCATTGGCTGAAAATTGTTTTCAAATCATCATGTGATAACATACCTGNNNNTCATACGATCAGCCGATTTTCCAGGTTGTCATAGGTTTAAAATCCTCTTCATTTCATAACATCTTTGTAAGTTTTCGATAAGCTACAATTAGAATCAATGGCACACAAGATACAATATGAAGCCGCAATGTTGATCAGCATATCACGATACATCATCAGATTCCATAAGCCATTATCTTCTATCAACTTTAAAGTCAATGAATTATAATGTGAATTATCACTAAATAATAATAACAGGATGGTGCCATTGAATCTAAAGCTGAATAAATATAGAAATGCCATTTTTATACGGCTCTTTAACAGATGGTACCGAATGTAATACATTTATCGTGCAATCCGTAATTGATTCTGTGTATGCAGTTCTACTATAAATTGCACACATATCTCTTCAAATAATCCAATTCTAGGCTCCTCATTGGTATGTCACCCGCGATTTTTTGTGGTAATTTCAGTGTCATAAACATTCAGTGCTGTCCAGTATTTGCTTCGCTTCACATTTTACATTTCGTGGCTCGCAACTAATCATATCCTTCATATATTGCAGAAATAGATGATATTTGTATGATCTATCGATCTGATCAAAATGATTAAGCTCTTATGTCGAACTCATTTATTTATGCCTCCGGTTTTTCGTCGTCCCGCATTCTCATCATCATTCTTAATGCTGAAAGTGCGGCCGATTGGGGGTTCCGTTGGCAGAAGATTATTCTCTTATTTAATACAATACCGGACTGAATTTCATGNTGTTTCTCAAAACACAACTATAATCAATTCTTTCCACTCGTTCCATCCAATCCACGAATAATCTCCACATTCTCACATATTGCAATTCAATCATGTTAATGAATACTTTGTGTGCAATAGACTGAACGCTGTCTTACTGTTAGTTCTCTGAATTTTCGTTCTGCCGAATGTAAATTATCGGAATCATTTCAGCTATGCAGACCCACGCAGCACATTCTTGCATCCGTTTCCACATAAATCATCGAAAGCATCCATCCATCGCTCTCTCGCTCTCAAACGATGACATTTCTAATAAAGAGTACACAGCTCACATGTTCTTCACATGTTTTGCGTTCGTTGTGCATGTTGTCCGTTCAGCAATCTGACAACATGAGTCAGTGGAATTTTCAACAAGCACGTGAATATCATGTGAGTAAAGAATGTTAAATCGATGCAATATTTATTTAGCGTACAACTTATGCTAAAACATCGATGAAACTCCTGAAACGATGTGGGGGTCTCGAAACGAGCAGAAAAAAGTGTGCAATTGAAGGGTGAGATTGTGTTTTACAAGAGCAACACAAAGAATTCCTCATAATCAGGAAATTTGATGGTGT